TACGCGTCAATTTGTCACACTCACTTGGATTTTTATCAACTTCTCAAGTCTGACTGGGTGTGGTGACGTGGGGAAATGTCCTTGCATCAGGGCTTTGAGGCTCAAGGGGGCTGCCTCAGGATACTTTGCCTTATCTTTACCTGATAAAGATAGAATGTATTGAAGTATGACAAAATGGGCATGAAAAGTGCAGAAACAACTCATGAACAAGGGGTGTAGACTCACGAAAATAACCTACGTGCTACAACATGTTCCAATAAAATTAAATACTGTTTATAATGCTCCTTTTTAGGGAGAAGTACAGTGGTAGTTATTGAGTCCAGCAAATTTATTTGAATTTGATACTGTCGATGGTGTGGTCACTAGTGAGTGTGGGTATTTATGAAAATAAAAACTCGGATGTTGAGCTTTTATGAAAGGTCAAAAAATTATAATGCTTTATACCTCACTCCATATGCACCCACAGTCTTCGGAATATCCTCCCTTAGTGGTGCATACATGTATATCTCCATTATACACCACTAAGGGAAATTAGCAGTAGTTGTCGGCGAGGAACAAGCCATTAGGAGGCCACAGACGGTGAGTATGGAGAGGTATAAGTATTATTATTATTATTATTATTATTATTATTAAAGCTTCCGTGGAGATAAAAATGTAATCAACGCAATAAATAGAGTAAGCTGCGCACTCAGTACAAACACCATAAGCAAAACTTGTTTTCATGTATAATAAATAAGCTTGTTCCTAAACGTTTTCGTCGCCATCTCATCAGAGGATTACTGGCAAATCAACAAAAGCTCTTAACTCAATATATATACGCACAATGCAAGTAATAATTTGTTTCTTTCAGCTCTCATTTTATCGTGCTAGTTAGGGTCTAAATTATTACTTGTATATATATTGAGTTAAGAGCTTTTGTTGATTTGCCAGTAATCCTCTGATGAGATGGCGACGAAAACGTTTAGGAACAAGCTTATTTATTATACATGAAAACAAGTTTTGCTTATGGTGTTTGTACTGAGTGCGCAGCTTACTCTATTTATTGCGTTGATTATTATTATTATTATTATTATTATTATTATTATTATTATTATTATGAACGGTCTCTGCTTGGATGACGACTACACCATAGCTCAGTGGTTAGAGCATCGCTGGCTACAAGCGAGGGTCCCTGGTTCGAGTCCTGGTGGTGACAGTCAATTTTTTCTTCAGACTTTTCCCGTTTGTCTCTTTCCCTCAAAACCAGTTAATATTTTATGACTTGGGGCTCCCCGCGTGCTAGTTTGTACGTGAAGTGTGTGGGTACAGTGAGGGCTGCGTCCCACCCGCCTGTGTGGATTCACAGGAA